TCTACCAGCAGCAAGAAGTGAGCAATGTACCACACTATCCTTCTGCTGCTGGACCGAACGCCCAACAACCGCGAGCCTACGAGGCCTTCGACACCTCACAGCAGCAACAGCAGCAGCAGCACTACGGCGCACCCCAGGCGACCTCTTCCTCCTCCTCTCCCTCTCCAGCTCCAGGCGACGCTGTACCTCCAGCCGGCGATTCCCCTCTACGTCTCTTCATGANGACACGGTCCACCAATTCCCCGACGGCGGAGGGATCTACCAGCAGCAAGAAGTGAGCAATGTACCACACTATCCTTCTGCTGCTGGACCGAACGCCCAACAACCGCGAGCCTACGAGGCCTTCGACACCTCACAGCAGCAACAGCAGCAGCAGCACTACGGCGCACCCCAGGCGACCTCTTCCTCCTCCTCTCCCTCTCCAGCTCCAGGCGACGCTGTACCTCCAGCCGGCGATTCCCCTCTACGTCTCTTCATGACACGTGGCGTGTGCCCTCGAGGCAAGTCTGAGATTGATTTTGAGAAGGATGTTGGTTTTTTTATGTCTGACGTGTTCACGAGTGCGGAGTCTGATGTGTCAATGCCTGGTGTTCCCCGCGTGCCTGCTGTGCATGAACGTTCTGACGATGAGTTCGGTGTCTCGAAGTTTGGTGTGTCTACTCATGATGTACCCCGCGTGCCCGCTGTACTTGAGAGTCCTGATGAAGAGGTCGACGTTTCGGAGTGAGATGCATCTGTCCCTGCTGTACCAAGTGTGCCTGGAAAGGTAGTCGTAGCCCGTCTCACCCGTCGTCCCACGGTTGGAAACGCTTTCTAGTGCCAACCCTCCATGCCGAATCCGATTGGTAGTGAACAATGGCAGGCCGATTCTGGAGCTAGTGCAATGATTTCGAACAAAACGGATGCAATATACAACGTACGCCACATGGGCCCGGATGAACAATTCATTCAGATTGGAGACTCGGCTCTCATCAAGGTTGCCGCTGTAGGGAGTTTGGACCTTAGGTTCCACCAAATCGGAGCCGACGGGAAACAGGAGGATTTAGAAGTCAATGTGCCAGAAGTTTTGTTTGTGCCCGGGTGTGGTTTCAACCTTTTCTCGGTATGGAAGGTGTCGCACAAGCATGAGGTCCGGTACGCAAATGATGCACGGAAAACTGCGATTCCCTTTTAGCAACCCGCCTTCCCCACAAATCCCTGCCTTCAATGGACGTTGCGCAAAAGAGCTCCCGTGAGAGTTGTTTTTCCTTTGTGGCATCGACTCGTACAGCCACGATGGATTCCGATCTAGAACCCCCCGTGTGACGGATGCTTCAGCGGAATACTCGGCGAAGATGATTGATGTGCGGGAGAGTGAAGAATGTGAACGCGCTATGGCTGTGCTGGGTCCCGGGAAGACACCTTTTAATGTCGGCAATGCACAAAATGTTATGGATATTAACACGTTCCACAACCGTGCCGGCCACTTGTCCGAACCCATTTTGAGACTGTCCGCGAAGCAACACGGGATTACCCTCACGGGCACGATGGACAGCTGCCGATGGTGCTTGCCAGCGCGTGGGACGAGGGCGCCGGTGCCGAAGCAGGGGGGCGGGTACCGCCGCAAGAGGGCGCGGAACGACGTGTTCCACATCGACCTCTGCGGCGCGTACACGGCGACGATCGGTGGCAGCCACTATATGCTCTTCGGTGTGGACGCCGCCACGGGATGGATGGTCTGCTACGCCATGCGGAGTAAGTCGGAGGTGCTAGCGGTCGTCAAGCGCATGGTCGTGAATGCCGCCCACACGGCTGGTACCGCGATCAAGTGCATCCGTTGCGACTGCGATGCCGTCTGGACCAGCAACGACTTCAAGGAGTTCTGTGCCAGCATGGGGATCGCGCTCGAGTACTTTCCTCCCGGAGTGCAGCAGTACAACGGCGTCGTCGAGAGCGCCATCCAGAGGTGCCTCAAGGTGGCCAAGGCATCCAGGCGGGCCGCCCTGGAGCTGCTTGACCCCGCAGGTTTTTCTCGTGTCCGCGGGCTGAGTGTTCGTGGCGATGAGCTCTGGGCGGAGTCCGCAAAAGACGCCGCGCAGAAGCTGACCCAGTCAGCGTCTCCTTCCAACCCCGGGGGTGCGTCGCCGCAGGAACTCTACACGGGCAAGGGAGGCCCTTTTCGCTTGANGTGCAGCAGTACAACGGCGTCGTCGAGAGCGCCATCCAGAGGTGCCTCAAGGTGGCCAAGGCATCCAGGCGGGCCGCCCAGGAGCTGCTTGACCCCGCAGGTTTTTCTCGTGTCCGCGGGCTGAGTGTTCGTGGCGATGAGCTCTGGGCGGAGTCCGCAAAAGACGCCGCGCAGAAGCTGACCCAGTCAGCGTCTCCTTCCAACCCCGGGGGTGCGTCGCCGCAGGAACTCTACACGGGCAAGGGAGGCCCTTTTCGCTTGATCCCGTTCTTCCAGTACGGTTTCATGTGGGAGCGGCCGGCGACGAAAATGGACGGCAGGGCCGTGCCGTTTTTTTTTCTCAACGCCGGGGACAACCACGCCGACGTCACGGTTACGGTGCTCAACGAGAGGACCGGCCACGTGTGTTACACCTCCAATTTAGCGTGGGCGGCGCTCCCGCCGTCGGGGGGTGGGGCGCAATGAACGACAGAACACCACGCACGAACAACGCTTCCTTCACGCTCTCCCCGGCTGCAATATGCTCTGCCTCCGTGGTCGACTGAGATGTCACTGGCTGTGTCTTCGTGGATGTGCACACTACGGTCCCACCTACAGTCACGGCTAGCCCCGTCGTCGAACGCCTGTCAACGGTGCTGTCGGCGTAACTAGAATCGACGAACACGT